CTGGTCACAGTTTGCAGCGGTGTGCAGCAGTGCTGGTCATGTTTGTTTTTGTAAGTGCACAGAGTTAGCCCTCCCTGTGGTGAGGATTTTTGTTACGGTGCTTGGGAATTTTTGGTGTGGTGTTTTTTCTTCAAAGCAGCAATATTCTGCAATGAAAGTTAACACAGGGACTTACACTTAACCTAATGTAAATAGGAAAACTCTTCCATGTAGGCAGCACTGGTATAAGATCTACCTTATGCTGGTGTCAAATGCTCTATATTCCCTGTGCTCTTAGGCATTTGAGTAACATTGAGCTCAGTTTAACATGGATGAGGAGATGCCACAGGCTGCAGAAGAAGAGCCCTTTCAGGAGAGCTTTGAGATCAGGTGCTCCCAGGGCCCACAGAGCACATGTAGTTCAGCTGGGCAGGCAGCAGGGGTGGCATCCACAGGAGAGCAGGCACGTTGTTGTGTGCTGCTCAACAGCGCTTTCAAACATTGTTCCAGTGCCTCTCCTAAAAACCAAAGAGAAGCTGGAATCTCTGTTTTGTATATCATTCTGCTGCCCCTTCAGGTACTTTCTTGTTGCAAAACTCAGCTGGAACAAGGGCAGAAGAGTGCCCTGGCTCGTTACTCTGTTTCCATGCTGGGTACTTGCCCTGTGTACTTTGCTCAGCTCACAGAGTAGCCTGATACTGTGTGGCAGAAAGCCAGGCTGTTTTTTTATAGTAGAAGAAGGCAGACCTGGGACACAGCGAGGGTGGAATTGAAGGGCATTAGGAGGACTTGGGAAGAACTTGGCCAGAAGATATGAAAGCAGGCCTCTCCTGATAAGTATTGTGGGATTGGTAAGTAGATAATGGTATTACTAAGGAAAACGTTGAGGTTTTTACATAATCAATAATCATAAGGTGGATCCTAGAGCTTTGAATCAAATTTGGAGCTCAGACTTCCCCATGTTGGTACAGCAAGAGAATAAATCCCACTTTCTGGGAAGTATGGGATTCCTTCCTGTTCTCTGACGTGTCTCTGTGGTTGAGAATGGGTCAAGAAAAGAAAGGTTTCACATTTTGTGTTCGTTCTGGATTTCTGAAGCTAATTCCTGGCTGCTCCACAGATTTCCTGTGTGATCTGGGGAATATTGCTTTGTCTCTCATCATCTAAGTTCCCTTAATAGTTCCATGTTAACACAGACTATTTATTTAAAAAGCCTGTTTTAAGGAGTACGTCATAAAATACTAGGGCTTTATAGCCTTTCTTTGCAGGTGCATGTGTATGTCCCATCTTTAGTCTCTTTGTCCTGTGACAATGCAAATTATTATGGCAAATGAACCAGCTGGTTTAGCATTGTGGACTCAGGCTTCCTACATCCTGGAGCAGTGCCTTGCTGCAGGGTAGCTTTTCAGTGCCCCAAAGGCATGTCTCCCAAGGGAGCTATTGAGACTGAGGCCAGTGATTTCCAGTTAATTTATCTGAGCTGTAGAGCTTGTCACTCTCATGAGTGGTTTCATAATTCTCTACAGGGACTGTAGATGCTTTTATGGTTTGTGGGGGAAAATGCAGTCCATGATTTTTCAGTAATCTCTTCAGGTAGACATGGTAACCTTGAATCCCAACTAGAAGGCAGTGAGGATCACTGGAGAAGATGTGGTTGGGGAGCAGTGTTTCAACTCTGACTTGTGGAAGATGTGGCATATAATGGAAGAGTGTGTTTGTCCTTCCCTTCCAGAGAATGCCAGTTGTGGGGCTGGTGGGAGATCAGATAATTTTTCTGACAAATTAGTTTTTTCCCAAAGTAATGCATCTTCAGGGAGATCAGAGGAGTTCAGAACTGCAGATTGAATTTGGCAAATAGCTTTATACTCTCTACAGTTAAAAATAAAATTGTGCTGAATTTCAGCACTTTAAAAAGTGTTTAAGTCTTAGACATTAAGATTTCAAGACATAAAATGAGTGTTCTGAAAAATTTAAAAATATTTAAAGTTTCCTGACATTGTTTCAGGATTAATGAAATGCTTGATATGATCCAAACGTATTTTAGTTTAATCAATCTGTTAGTGTATTTTAGTTTTTGTTGTTAGAAAAATATAAGTGTTTTCACTGTAGAGTGGCCTACACTCCTACTACCTATTATCAGATTTGGTAGTGAGGCAAAAGAAACTGTTGCATGCATTTCTGCAAAGTTAGGATGTTGCCTTAATTTTAAATATCCTTTCCAAATACAGAATAGATTGGGTTTTTTTCTTGTTCCTGTCTCTAATGCTCACCTCTAAAGGAGAGCGAGTTAGCAACATGTTGGTATAATTCAAGGCTAAGTGGATGTGTGTTCAGTGAGTATAGCACAGTGTGGAGCAAGTTCAAGCCCAAGCAAGAGACACTAAGCTTTTGCTGTCATGCAGATTGAAAAGTTTCTGCTACCAGCAAGCTGCTAGGAAATACAGCTCCATGTTTATACAGAGGGAAATTATTCAGCGTCTGAACTTCTAGATGGGTAACATCATGAGAGTATACCATTTGGCTTTTGTGATTTATTTTCTCTAAGGGTCAGGTGGCCAGACCTTCTAACAAAGTTAGTTACTTAAAAGGTCCCAATGTTTTTCTCCCCGTGAGGAATCAACATGAACGTAATAGAAAAACCACCAACCAGGCTCTGCCTAACCAAGTGCTGATTTCAGTGTAGTTCCTTATAATGAAATTACAGGCACCAAAATATTGTAAAAAGTCATTCCCTGAAGCCCAAATTCTCACAGAGGAGAGATGCCATCTGGCAAAAACCTCATAAAAAACACTGATGAAAATGTAAGATAGAGAAAATCCCTCTCTGATTCTTTTTTTTTTTTTTTTCATATCTAGAGTTTCACCCATCACTGTTGTGAAACACTTTTGCAAAATTAGGCAGTGGAAGCACAGAATGCCAACTGAACTCTGTGTGAGGACCCAGCTGACTATCAGTATCTGAAGTAGCAGACTGGTATTTAACCACACCAAAAAGGAATTAATTACAGTAGTCATGGTCAGAACTAGATACATGGAGAAAAAAAACAAACTACCAAGGAGTACTGAAAGACAAAGCAACAGTAAAAGGAGTATACCTAAGTACCCCAGCATCAGTCATGCTCTGCAGAGCCGTCAGGGTAAGAGACAGTGGAAATTGATACTCACAGAACTCCACCAGCAGGTACTTAGTTTCCTTCAGTGCTCTGTCAAAGTTGCTCTTTTTCAGCAAGAGTACGTTGTTCTCCTTTTTTATTTTGGGAATTTTGGGTTTCTTTGACTTTGTTTCACTTGGGCTTATGCTGTCTGCTGCCAGAAAGGCTGTGAGAAACAGTAATAGCAGAAAGAAAAACACATGATTCTTCATCTTCCCCTGTCTTTTATCCAGTTATTGAGACAGAAAGAAGAAAAGGAGCATGAGGCAGCAGGGTTTGTTGCCTAAATGGTTGATTGGCCAAACTAAGAGGCTGATAAGGCTGATAACAGAGTCTAGCACCAGCGGAGACAACTGCACCTTTCCATGGGATGATTAATGTAGTTCATTACTTCCCCATCTTTAGCAGTGTTTAGGAGAAAAAAATAATAAAATATCTGTGTGGAAGGTGAGTTTACTCTTTCTGTAAATAATCAGAACCCTGGGGGGAAGGTGAGAGAGCACAGGAGGAAACACTTGCCTGTGGAAGCAGCAGTAGATTCACAGTGCACTTCTCTAGTTAGGCAGCTTACTCTTGTCACCAGTACCCAGTGCAGAGCTACAGGCAAAACATTAGGTGAGGAACCTGGGAAAGTATTTGATGGCTGCTCTTCTGCTTAGTATTTGTTTGTCTGTTGCACTTACAGAGCTACTTTTTATGGATCTGATTCAGAGCATGCTGTAGTCAGGGAAAAACTCATTACACTGCAGATGTAATTTTAACATCTGTATTTCTTCAGTACCCTGTCTGTGAGGTTCCCATCTCTGCTTAAGTGCCCAGTTGTAGCTCAGGTAATATACTACCTTGTGGGTTAAACCAGAGGATTTTGCCTTTGATTTTCAGTGTTGCCTATTAAACAAGAAGATTGTGGCTCAAAAAGTTTTAAAAGCAAAAATTCCACACCACACCCCCATATTGAATGAGGGGAAAACTCCCTTAGATTTAAGGTAGTGGGTAGATTAAGGACTTAATTACACTCAAAACTAGTTTATCAGAAGATTCTGCATCTGTGAATAAAAATTCAGTTTTCTTGACTTCCAAGGTTGGGCTTTAAATAACTGCAGTGTCATCTATTCTGTTTCCTCCACATCTACCTGCATGTTGTGTAGGAAAGACTGGGAGAAACTGGAAGTTCTGGAATTTTATTTGCAAATTTTACATGTATCTTTTTTGAAGTTGCACACTGCAGCTGAAGTGCAAAGGAAATGGAAGCCTTTGGCCTTTCACCTTTGCTTGCCTAGTGTTCATTTTGTGTTTATTCAATGCCCCCAGTGAAAACAGAACTCACAAGGGAAGAACTGAGATAATAGTCAGTTTTATTGGTGCATAAATTCAGCGTGAATCGCCATCTAGTGTATATTTAAGACAGCATAATTACAGAGGCCTTTTAAATCAAGGGGATATACAAAATGTACTCAAAACTCTTTCTAGGTACTGGCATTTTATTTCTGTAAGCAGAAATTTACAGGAATCAAGAGAGATATTTAGAAAAGGACTGGCAAGTGAAAGTTTAGAGAGGAGATAGGAGATTCATTCATCAGGTGACAAAGTAGAGGATAAATATTATTATGAAAAAACAGTGTACAATCTCTTAGCCAGGAAAGGAGGAGCACTTACTTTAAGAATCACGTAAAATAATGGGGGGAAATGGGGTTGTGCAGAAACAACCTCTTTATTCAAGCTGGTTTGCATTTAATTTTCCAACATCACAAACTCCATAGCATGCAATACCTAACTGGCTTTACACATATTTTCTTTCATTTCAGATGACTGATTCCTGTAGTTGTGCACCTGATTTTTTCCCCACTGTCTGATAAAGCATCATTTATCATGAGAACATTAATTAAATCATGGATTCCTCGGTGTCTGTGGATTCTCAAGTCTCCTTGCAGATCATTCCATGGATGCAATAAGCTTCTTACATCTCAGATTATTTTGCATTATGACTCTATAAACCAGTGTAAAAAGGAACTGCCAGAATATTTCAACTTTGCAACTGATGTCTTAGATGAGTGGTCACAACTGCAAAAGGTAGTGTTTTCTTTTACTTCATAGACATTGGAACAAATCTCAGATGTTACAGATCAGTTTTGCTGATGAATACTGCATAATATTGGCTGCAGAGTAGAATGCACTACTTTATTTTCTTTATCACTTTAAGAGACTAGTTTCCAGGGATAAGTTGCTGAGTCTGGGGTTCTTACCTTTTAAGGTAATCAATCCTTTTAAGGATCCTTATTTTAATGTCTTCTGTTGTGTTCTAGGATGGAAGACGACCAGCAAATCCAGCTTTTTGGTGGGTAAATGATGAGGGAGAGGAAGTGAAGTGGAGCTTTGAAGAGCTGGGATTTCTGTCTAGGAAAGCAGCTAATATACTTTCAGAGGTGTGTGGTTTGCAGAGGGGAGACAGAGTTGTAGCTGTTCTTCCTCGTGTTCCTGAGTGGTGGCTACTGTTTATAGCCTGTATACGAGCAGGTGAGTAACCTTGGATGCAGAGAGAAAATAAATAGAAAAGATGAAAAACATGCTAAATTAATTTGAAAAAAATGTAATCAGGAATATGCTGCTGTGCCCTATACGATTCAGCTTTTGCACAGAAGGAGAATTGGCAGCACCCACACAGGAACAAAAGTGACCTTGTACTAGGTGCTGAAGAGACATTGTCCACCTAAATGACATCCTCAGTTGAAGCCAGTGAGGGCTGAATGGTTACAATCTTAAGGCCAGATTTGACCAATATATTACCATTGTGGACAGCTGAAATGCATTAAGTTATGTGACAGTCTGGTTAATAATTAAAACAATATTTTTTTGCTCTGCTGCTACAGTTTTGCAGATTTAGGAAAAAATTGACCCATTACATTTTCAGACTGCTAATGATCCATGATGGAACAACTTGGCATCAACAGGGACATGATCAATATTTTTGTCCCACATGAGGCTCTGTAACTCTTGCAGGTTGTAAATGTGCTTAAGACTCAGGGAATCTGATTATATTATATCCAAGATTTTCTGGACAGTGACATGAGAATATTGTTCAGTATCTCAGCGTGTCTGTTTTCCAATTGTAAAATTTGGTAGATACCTCTGAAGGTGCAAGAAGACTGAAATCCATCTGTAGGTCAAGTCTATTGTAGTCCTTGGGAAAAGGAGGTATAGAAATGCACTAAACTGATATTCCCTCCCCCTCCCAAAACAGTGTGATTTCAGGCCCATTGTACTCCGTATCCAAATTCATATTTGTTCACATTGCAAAATTAATCCAAATTTAAGAGATATGTTGACTGAGCAATGTATGTAAGCTACCCAACCTCCATCTATTTGTCCCATATCAGAGCTATCAATTCCTTATTGATATGAATTATTAATTTATTCCAGATGTAAATATAATCTAAGTGCTGTCCATAAATTGCTTGTTTCTCTTTTCCAGGAATTGTCCTTATTCCGGGAACATCCCAGTTAACAGCCAAAGACATCTTATACCGACTCCAGGCTTCGAAGGCCAAGTGCATCATTGCCAATGATACACTGGCACCTGCAGTGGAATCTGTCATGTCCGATTGCCAGTTTCTGAAAAGCAAGCTAATTGTAACCAAAGGGAGCAGAGAAGGGTGGCTGAACTTTAAAGAACTCCTAGTGTGAGTATATACCTGTTTTATCATCATTCTTGTGAGGTGAAGGAAGCTGTATCAGTCAGGTGAAAAGGCTGAGTTTTGGGATTATTTCCAAAATACAAGTTATTTATATTTTTATATATATTTATATTTTTGCATCCATCTACCAGCCCACTGTAATTACAGCAACTTCTCCAACACACTTTTTGGGAGCTGTATTCAGGTCTTTCAGCTTCTCCTTACTAATCAGCCTGCCAGCTTTTAAAGGCTTTGTGCTCCTACTGTAATCACAAGACAAGCACACAGGCTACTAATCTTGCAGTTGTTTTGTCCTTGTCTTGTAGAGCCTAGCCTAGTGCCTCTTGATTTCCATGGGAAGACAGCCATTGCCAGCTCTTGGTGCTCAGCTAAGGTGGCACCAGTTATTTCTTCCCTTTACTGTCTTGGTAGCCCAGTCAATCGAAATTGATCATTGGTCTCTTGAACATAAGTGGTATAGTTCATTATACAGTATGTCCAAGACCACCTTATCTGGCATAATAGCTTGAATATGGCCCCCATTGACTTCATATTAGGAGAAGGTATATGTTGAAGGCAGAAGTTGTGTTTGCATCTACCTGCTGTTCCATAACAAGCACCTTGAGTACCTTTGCAAAATAGCTGTAGGCAAAGTCACTGCAATATGCTGTAGTTGCTTACTTCTTGAAAATGATGGCATACAGAGCACACTTTTAACTAGCAAAATGTGCTCTCTGACTCTTTTATCTGTGGTATCTGATGAAACTACTTAGTGAGATCATACAGTTTTGGTCCATTTTCCTGTTTATGACACAAACCTTAAAAAATACTGCTTTGTCTGTGAGAAACTACATGTAGTAACCATCATATGCTGTTTCTTCTGAAGGGTGACATCTGCTGACCATAAATCTGTCAAGACAAGGAGTCAAGACCCAATGCTGATCTATTTTACTAGTGGAAGCACAGGCTATCCAAAAATGGTGGTGCATTCCCACAGCAGTTATGGTATTGGATTTGCAACCACTGCCAGGTATACCTTGCAGTTGTTCCCAGTGTCCTGATCAAGTGACATGATCACAATTAAATTGAAAATGTGGCCATAAAAACTCCAGTAAATGTAGACATTTCATTAGTGTAGGAACTTGCTTCTTTCTGACCTTTCCCCTCTTGCAGTGAAACCCTCATTATTAAAAGCTTTTTGAAGACTCAGTTTTGATCATCAAACACAGAGTTCTGTCTCCCACAGGGCTGACTGCAGGATAGCAGTAAAGATAGCCTCTTTATAGCAAAATCAGAGTGCTTCAGTATTATGTAAACCTTCCTTGAGAACCAAAGCAACTTTGAACTGTAGCATCATACCATAAAAGTTACAGTTCAGTTTGAGTCTGTGACTTGTTACTGATCTGCTTGCATTTAACATATTTTGTTTATGCTTCTCTGGGAGTGAGAAATTCCGTTGAAATCAAAGGATACATTTCCTAATGTGTTCCGACTTGGAAGTTGATGGTATAGAGTCCATAGAAGTAATTTGGTTAGTTTCCTAGGGAAATAAGATGTGATTTAGCTGGTTTCTCTAATCCACAATGTGGAATGGAGTAGGAATGCCTACTCCAAATAATCTGTTCAGTCTTTGATCTAGATTCAGATTCTGAAGCTCAAGCCAAAGATGTTTTGTATTGTTCAGGAGAAAGGTAAATGCTTGAAATGTTAAAGGGAAATAACAGAATGTTTATGATTCTCTTCCATTCTTACAAACTTTCTAAAGAGCCGCACTTGCTGACACTGCATCTTCTAATGGAAGCTTCCTGCCCTTTAATTATGCTGTAATCTGTGACTGAGTCTCTCACACTCTATGAAGCATTTTTTTCATCTCTGCTTTATAATCAGGTACTGGATGAATTTGACTCCTTCAGATATTATGTGGAATACCTCTGATACTGGCTGGGTAAAAGCAGCTTGGAGTAGTGTTTTTGCACCATGGATCTCTGGATCATGTGTCTTTGTACACAACATGCCACAGTTTAAACCAGCAGTTGCTGCAGAGGTAAGTGTAATTTTTTATACTGTGAGTTATATTTTCTTTTTGCATAAATGAAGCAAGCAAGGTGGTCTCCAGTGCATGGGTACCCACTGCTCTGTAGCAGCAGGCATAGTACTTCCCACATCCCAAGCAATCATCTCTCTTTTAGGTGCCCAGAAAGCTAGAGGAACAAATGTTTTACCTCCTTGTTAGACCATGTGACATGACTGCAGTGTAGAGGACATATAGTGAATGATGCAGGTCAAAAAGAACTCGGGATCACTGCTGTCTTCTCCCATACTTAGCCTAAAGCTCACTTTAGAAAGTTTGCTTTAAGTCTGACCTTCCAGCTATTTTATGCTCAGGGTGAGCATGGGCGAGTAATCAGAGTGTGGCATAGACCTGAATCAGGGCCCTGTTACCCTGAATTTTCAATGAGTTACCAGAATGCCTGTTCCTCCTCTCTGCCATTTCACAAAACCAGTCAACTGACCTGTTCTCCTTAACATTGGCCTGTTGTGTGGAGAAGAGACCCAGACTTTCCCAAGAACAAAATTGGAAAAGCTTTCATCTAGTTCACAATTGTCACTTGGTCTTAAGCCTGGGACACATTCACCTTGGTAAACAGAAAGCAGTCTTAGTTGGAATTACTACTCTCAGTGGTCATTCATTTCCATGAGTGATTTTGGTTGGGCAGAAAGCACAGTGTTTGCTGCAGCAGCAGGACTGACTGGTACAGCCAGGAGTCATAGTCACTAATCCATAGTCCTTCTCTGGATTTAATGTATCTTGCATTTTTATGGTTTTAATTTTGCAGACATTTGAGCATAGGAGTTGTGCTAATTGCCTGCACATTTCAGACCCACCATTACATTTTCTGTTCAACCAAGTAACTTTCTGTTTTTCTAGACTCTCTCAAGATATCCCATCACTGTCTTTTGCACGGCTCCCACCGCCTACCGCATGCTGGTCCAACATGATCTGAGCAGGTACTGCACATCTGTCTGTTGCAGGGCTAGAGAGGCTGGGATATAGTGCTGTGGCAGCTCTGGCTGTTTAGTTCTATGTTGCACTTTTTTTTTTTTCAAATAAAGGAAACTTAGTTAGCAAAATCTGCTCTCAGAAAAGAAAGCTCTGTTCTGAAATAGAGGATAACTCGTCACGCCTTAGGCCATTCCAGCTTCAGGAATGGGTCTTTGAAACAACAGCACAGGGAAACAACTGAGGGGTTTGTTTTTCTAAGTTGTCACTTCCTCTGAATTTAGGGTTCACAGTTAAGTTTAAGTCAAGGTTTCGGGCAGCACTGGATCAGGAAGTTTCTGGAGTACAGTGGAATTGTACTAAGAATGTAGAGAACAGTTAGAGGACTTTCACATGCTGAGAGTTATCTGGCAGCTGTTCCCACTAGTGTGTTACACTGTAAAATACTCAAATAATGAGAAGCAATCAATGTGGTCTGCAAGGAGTTTTCACACCTTCAGTAAGGTACTTATTCTTCTCACATCAGTCTTTCATCCTGACAACAGCCAAGCCCATTTTAGCAGTGCTCAGGCTCTCTGTTCCTATTTAGCCTTCCTTTTCCTCTAGAAAATTCTAAGTATGTTATTTTATGTTGGATGTTGGCACATAACAGCTTTCCACAAACATTTCAGATTTCTCCTTTCTTGTCAGCTCTTCCAAGAAAATACCAAACACCTTTGCTCGCTCTTTCTCCAGAATAAAAACCTACTTCCAGTGAGGCAGAAAGAAACCACATTATCCTCAGTGGTCACATGAGCATAACACAATCAAAGACTGCGTAACACAATTATTACTAAAATTTTCAAAGTAGCTTATGAATTTTTAGGTGTGCTTGCTTTGAAAGTTGGAAGGAGGCTGCTTAGTTGAGACTATTCACTACTCTTTTCAGAAATTAAGAAAACTATTTCATTTGCCGTTTCTTTTAAGCTACAAGTTCATGAGTGTGAAACACTGTCTATCCGGAGGGGAACCACTCAATCCTGAAGTGATGGCAAAATGGAAAATCCAGACAGGACTGGATATCCATGAAGCTTATGGCCAGACTGAAACAGTACGTTAGCATTAATTCTTCAAGTATATATATTTCAAAGGTAGCAATATCAGAGACACAATATACTTGATAAATCAATGGAATTTAATTTTTATAGGAAATACTATGACTACTGAGTTCAGACCCCCACAAATTCATGCCAGAGATTACCTCAGATCAAATAACTTGTAGTAGATACTTTGATTATCTTTACTTAGAAGGCAAACTTAAAAAAAAAAAAAAATTCTGGTTATCAATTTGGCCTGTCTAAGATTTTAATGAAAAATATTTAATCAGTTCACATCCCAAACTTCTCTGTAAGTGAAAGTTAATGAACCTATTAAGAGTCAGGTTTCAGGCATTCTCTCCTCTTACCCTTGATATGGTCCCAAATTAATTGTCCCTTTATTGAAAAAAGACTGTAACAATTTCACATTTCCCATCTAACAAATTCAACTGTTTGCAGAAGAATTCTCTGGCTCAGACTGAGCACAAGCAATATCATTCCACAGGGCTGACCTGAAAGGCCTCTTGGCCCCCATCTGGTGTGCTTGAGTACCACAGGGCTTTAGTCCTGACTCAGCCCTTGTGGCGACAGAGTCATGAAGAGGTGTAATGCCTAATGCAAACCTGATGTTGCATAAATAAAAATTAAAAAAATCTGTTATGCAGGTGACGATATGTGCCAATATGAAAGGAGTGAAAACTAGACCTGGCTCTGTGGGAAAAGCTGTTCCCCCTTATGATGTGCAGGTATGTTGAGATGTCACATCTGAGCTCAGCTGCACTTGTGGGTACAGGAGTAAGGGAATCCTGGCTATGTCCCTTCTTTGTCCTGCACTGGGCTATAACAGGTACAGCAGTGAGCTAATCAAAGGAATAATGGTATGTCCTTTCTGCAGATCATAGATGACCATGGGGCTGTTGTGCCTGTAGGAGAAGAAGGCAACATTGCTATCCGAATTCAACCGACACGACCATTCTGTCTATTCTCTGAGTACTTTGTAAGTCTGAGTTTGTCTGTGACTGCTTAGAAGCTCAAGACACAAAGTAGTATTTAAATACTCATTTTGAGAACAATTTAAGAATTGTCTAGATCTTTTTTGGCACCACTGCAAAGTAAATGCATCAAATTCCAGATGCATTTTTTGAAATGTTTGATCCTTGTCAGAATGATCCAGAGAAAACTGCTGCCTCCGTGTGTGGAAATTTTTATGTGACGGGGGACAGAGGAACTATGGATGAAGAAGGATATGTCTGGTTTGTTGGAAGAGGTGATGATGTAATTAATTCTGCTGGGTAAGTCAGTTGCATTTGGCTTTGCTTCTTTGCCTGTTAAAAATATCTCTGGAAAGACCTCCTGAGTGGCTGTCACATCTGCATTTCCTCCTAGGTATCGCATTGGTCCATTTGAAGTCGAAAATGCATTAATACAACACCCTGCAGTCTCTGAGTCAGCTGTTGTCAGCAGTCCTGATCCAGTTCGAGGGGAGGTAAAAAGAAATGCACTAAGCATGGCCCTATATATGCTAGGCTTCCTTGGAGTTAAATGTGTTGCAGATTTTTTAAATCAAAATGGGTTAAAAAACTTTAAAAACCTTTCCTTGACAGATCTTAGAATTTCAGAATTATTTCTATGTGTTCAGGGTTTGACATGGAATAAAGTTAGGCTCTTCAGACTTATTGTGGCATTTTCTTGTCTCAAAAAATAGAACCCAGATTATTTCTTTTTGTCACTAATTGGCAAAATGGTGGCAATGATATCAAGAGGGTTTAATTTTTCTTTTATTTTTTGGCATTTTTCAACTTTGCAATATTTCTTTGCTCTTTGAGCCCCAGGGTGAGATTTTCAGACCTCTTTTTTTCTGTTCTGCAAATTTTTGAAAGTTCAGTAGCATATTAAGTTAAGAAAAAAAAGTGGAAAAATAGCAAAAAACCCTATGTACTTTGTAACATTGCATTCTGTAAGAAACAGCCAAAGAAAAGGGAACTTAAAGAAAAAAAATCAAACTTTTGTATTCTGAATTTTAATACTCAGTTTGGGCAGCAAATATAACACTTTATTGCCACATCTGGAAGTTAATGGAGCCCCTTAACTTTTGTGACCCAGGTAGTCAAAGCCTTCATTGTTCTGGCTCCTGCTTTTGTATCACATGATCCAGAAAAATTAACTCATGAGCTTCAGCAACATGTCAAGAAGGTGACTGCACCTTACAAATATCCGAGGAAGGTAAGTATGCCATAAAAAGACAGGTCTTCTAATTTTATTAAAAAATGAACAGTTTTTTGTCCTGCCTTGGCTTTATTTTTACAGCATTCTGACAAAAACTCAAACTATAGTTTAAAAAAAAAAAGTAAATTACAGGGTCTCTTGCAGCTTTGGCCTTGAGTTCACAGGATGTGCTAGAGAGGACCCAAAGGGAGGGATGTTAACTTATCCTTGTCATGGTCCAGTCTTCCTTTCATGAAACACCAGGGTTTTCACAGCAACTCAGCTGGGCATGGTGTTCAGCTCTTACTATTCCTCCCTTCTGTTGGTACTCTCAGCCAAAGCTAAGGGGCAATTCTTCTGGCATCAGAAGGGTTGGAATCCATCCCATACAACCAGGAAAGCCACCAGTAACTCCCTGTCCTGACAGCTGAAGTGCTTATTGCTTCAGGACTGTGGTACTTGTCCCTGCAAGCGCTGCCTGTGCAGTCAGCTAAGATGTGTAGTAAGGAATTTCACTGTCTCATTCCCAAGCTGTGCAGTTTCCCTTTTTCTCTTCAGCCATAATAAAAAGCTGTCTTTACTTGCACCTGAGAGACTAATCAGAATGTGTTTGGCTAAAAGTGAACATTTTTGCCTATCAGGTGGAGTTTGTTCAGGACCTGCCGAAGACTGCAAGTGGGAAAATCCAGAGAAAGGTTCTAAGGAACAAAGAGTGGGGAAGAGTATAACGTGATCTGGAAATTGAGGAGAGAAAATTTTCATCATCTGTACTAGCCATAGCACATCACACCTGGCATGTGGTCATGACCCAGAGCACAAGGAAAACATATGAAAACAAAAAGCTAAAGGAAAAAAAAAAAAAAGAAATCACAATCACATGAGGATGTGTGGTATCGGAACCACTTTTGCCATTGACCTACAGATTTTCAGAATGGAGAAGGTGCAAGTAATTAAGAATGATGAATGGGAGAGCGAAGGGTCAGATCCGGTAGCTTACAAAAGGTTAAATTTTTTATTGGAATTAGTAAGAAATCACAACCACATGAGGATGTGTGGTATCGGAACCACTTTTGCCATTGACCTACAGATTTTCAGAATGGAGAAGGTGCAAGTAATTAAGAATGATGAATGGGAGAGCGAAGGGTCAGATCCGGTAGCTTACAAAAGGTTAAATTTTTTATTGGAATTAGTATAAACAGCTTCTGAAAGACTTGTATTTTGGTAATTACAAATAAATGAGAAATGAGTATCAGCAGCAAAGTGATATTCTCTCTTCAAAAACCAGCACTATAACATTTCCAAATGCTGCATAGGAGGATAAAAACATATTATTTAAATTAAAGTGGGAGAAAAGGGAAGATACAAAGTGCTTTAGGTTAAGGTACAAATAAATTATGCATAATTAATGGTGTAAATGATTACAAAGAAAGGTTACTCCAGAGAAAGAATTGGGCTGCCTGGTCTGTTTTGTGCTATGTTCTGTTCTCATTACTTCAAAAGAAGCAAATTATAAAGTAGAAGGGTTTCACTCCAAATCTTTTTTGACAGCATCCAGGTTTCACATCTCTAGATAAAAGCTAATGTTTACAGTGCTTCATTTGGGAAACATGTCCTGAAAGCTGAAGGAAGAGGATCTACCCCAGCCAGCTCTAATCCACACTATCCACAGCAAGCAGGTCAGAAAATGTTATTTGTCTGAATTCCTGGTGTTGCTGATCATTTAGAAGAAGCAGATGGTACTAAATCAGGGAAATAATTTCTGTTTCTTTCAGCAGTTCAGAGGACTTTGCCATTACTTGATCTTTTTCTCAATTGTCTTTGTTTTCATTTCTGAGTTTGCAGGTGAAAAGTGCTAAAAACTGTTGAAGACTTAGAGCAAAACTTTGCAGACATTTTTGTAGACCACTAGGTAACCCTGGATTTAAAATGTTTTTCATGTTGTCAGTTTTGAGTACCATTTGCAATCTTGAATGCTAATCCCAAATGTGCTTTCTCCTCTTTTCTTTACAAGCTATTGAGTAGATGTTGTCACTGCAATGCTCTGAAATCTGTAGATTATAACTAAAACACAGAATTAGAACATGCTAAAAAATGAGAAATATCTTTGTTATTTAAAAGAATAATAAAAATTATTAGGCTTTTCTGTTAAAGGAATGAAAGTGAATTGATTGGGTTTTAGCATTAACTGATGGTCACAATCTCAAGGAGAGGTTAGATTTAACAAAAATCTTTATTTGTACTGACAGTTGTTTCCTTAAGTAGGAAAATACAGTAAGAGTGAACATGTATCCCAGAATATGACATAAAAACTCTTTATTAACATCTATTTTCTATGGACATATTTAGGAAATATTTAAAAGATAGTTTTTCACCCATAAAACCATTTTAGATTCTTTTTTTTCCACCAGGTCACGTTAATAGAGTTTTGATATAAAATGTAAGTACCATCTAACTTTCTGCTCTATAATCCTGATTCTGAAGTGGGTGGCACATAGGGACATAGTAACACTTAATTTTACATCCATGTCCTGTGATACTTTCTCAGGAGCAAATGTTATCCTGTAGGATTATTTACATCTGCTCAGTATTTCTCTCCCACAATCTCCATGTAGCATGGAGAACACAGTGAATTACTGCTGGTTTTCACAAAGTGTTCTGGGGAGAAAATCTGCATCCAGATTTGTTATGTTGTCAGATACCACAGAAAAGATTAAGTTGTGCAGTTTCAAAGTATTTGAGTTTATTCGTCTGATAGGCAGGTTAAATATTACTGTAAAAGCTCCTGCTAAGGAATAAGGAAATAATTCCACTGTTAAATAAGTTACTTTTTCTTGGAGGATTTAATTTGACCTAAACTGAGATCCATGCATCAGAGATGTAAGGATGAGTGGTTACGGTTGAGGACATGGGACAAGAGGTAAATGAACAGAAAAGGAACTTTAAAACCTGGGACGAAGGGCAAAACTTGGCAGCTTCATTCTGGCCACAGCAATTCCACATGGAAAATAATTTAATCAACACTTTGCCTCTAGTTTTTGCCTAGTTTGTGGTTAGCTTCATTCTTTGTAAGAACAGAAAATTAACCTGTATTCCAACACTCACCTAACCTTGTATTGAGTTTAGTAACTTGAGTTTAATGGTTGAAAAAGGAAAATCAATAGATGGACCCAGGTTTTGGAAACATCATAGACCTCCAGGTCTCCACTGGCTTCTGCTCTTTTATTTATTTTTCCCATGTTTGATAGTCCTCATGTGCACTTATAAGAAGCCTTTAAATAGCAGTAAAATTTGACAGTTGAGCACAGTTCTGAAGAAATCTTCTGGACTACTTAATAATTATTGTAATATTAAAAGAGAGAAAGAAAAAGAAGAAGAGTTCCAATAATTTGACTTAAGAGCTTTTAGGATCATCATGGTGATTACAGATGGAAGAGAACATTTACAAAGAGTAAATGTAGAAGTGTCTAAGTCAAATTTGAGGACACACTTAAGGGTTTAATGAAGTGAAGGTTCTTGGGATACGTGTGGCGAATGGATATATCAGCCAGCAACTGTTCAAGCTAAAGCAGTGAGAATCATGATGGAAATCGTCTGGAAACATCCTTCAGCTCCATGTGAAAGAAAAGGAATAGAGAATCAGCTACTGAATGCTTTGGTGTAACAACCAGTAACCTTCTTATAATGCAGACAGTAACATCTGATGTTGTGTTTGCCAAAGAAGAATTCTGGACAATTAGCAGCCCCAAGGAACACATCAAGGATCTGTAAGGATCAGCTGAGCTATAGACAAGATGCCAGATCAGTACAGTACATTTACTCCTTAAAAAGCTGATGATAAAAAATATGAGAAGCAGAAACTGTTAAAAACATCAGTTTGGCTGTGACTATCCTAAGTGACTTGAACTCATAACTGAATTGTCTTCGGATAATCTCAAGATACTTTTTTTACTTTTTCTTTGGTTTTTTTTTTCTTTTTGTTTCAGAATTCATAGCAACAGTTCTGCTATTTTCTTGGCTAGTCTACAGCATCTACATACATCATCTTTTTGCCATGAAATTGTTTAAATTACAGACTCTAAAATCCTTTTGGACTCTGAAGCCTCCTAGTAGGACTTTCCATGGACACCTCAGGTTGCTTGCCTCTGATGTATACTCACAGTACCAGGCTGTCAGGCGGGGTGAAGAGGAAATACCAAAGTACTTCAACTTTGCAAGTGACGTTCTGGACAAATGGTCTGAGATTGAAAAGGTAGATGATCTTTTGTTGTGCAGATGAGATACTTTAATTTGAAATTTAATTTGAAAGAAGTTGGGGGGGTTTGTCACAAAAATCAGTTGCCAAAACCAATTCACAGTATGAAATTATACAAAATCTCGTTTCTTTCTTCATTTTAAAAGTCTCTTTGACCCTTTGTACTCCTTATGTAGGTAGAATAAGCAATGTTAAGGCCCTTTTGACTTTAATCTCAGAATGGCTGTGCTAATTCCTTCTGCGTACTATAATATTAGATATTGATATTGTAAAAATATGGGTAAAATAACAAGATTGCATGCTTGGGAAAATTTTCCCACAGATGTTTAACTGCCTTCCTCCAAAGTGGATTCTGTATTTGTTCAGATGATCTGTAGTTAGATACAGCTGAACTCCCCTCTTCCTGAGCAATCAGACAAGAAAGAATCCTAGGATACTGTTTTGTCCTATCATTTTATTTTGTCCTCTGCATGTGTTGCTTCTTTGTAATAGTATTCCACAACTCCATCCAGAATATCAGGAATATTATGTGAAGCATTTCACGATATCTGTTCTTTTGTAGGAGCATTAATGCTGAGCATAAGGCTGAGTCCTAACAGAAGTAGGATCCAGACTAGGACTTGAGTCTGGAGACAGTTGGGCTGGTAAACATTTCAGGTTCAGAAAACGAGAATTTATTTGGAATAGCTGAGCTTGATCCATAACACATCTCAAGCCATTAGGGACAAGGGAAAAATAATTGTTTATGTGTCAGTTGTGAAGTACTCAGATCTTTCATAATTTGCAGGTATTTGTGTATTATAATTTCACGGTCTTTCAGAAGAAAATGTTTTTCTTTTGAATTCCTGTGTTTTGTAGGCTGGAAAGAGACCATCAAACCCTGCCTTTTGGTGGATAAATGGAAAAGGGGAAGAAGTGAAGTGGAGCTTTGAGGAGCTGGGTTTCCTGTCTCGGAAAGTGGCCAATGTGCTGACTAAAGTATGTGGATTGCAGAAAGGTGAAAGAATTCTTGTGGTCCTGCCACGAGTCCCAGAGTGGTGGCTGGTGAATGTGGCTTGCATGAGAACAGGTCAGTGAGCATACGAGACTGGGAAAACTGTTTAATGCAAATTGGCTGAGAGGGTCAAGAATGTATATGATTTATAAAGGAAAAGTAATAATCTAGTGAATGGCCTAGCTACCAATTATGCAGGCAATCCTGATGGATTTGCACTAGGTTGCCTATGGAGGAGGTGTGGAGATGACAGAAGGCAGGAAAGAGCTATGGAAGTCACCAGACAGGTCCACATTTCATTCCTTACAGGAGAGCAGCACAGGCAGCTGCATTACTCCCCAATAATGATTCGGCTTGAGAATGCCAGGGCAAATTGATCTCAGAGGTCAGTTTGGGAATAATTAATAGTTTAGATTCTTAGAAAAGAATCAGACGTAAAAATTGCCATCCCAAACTAACTTTATTGCTCTTCCAGGAATTGT